GTGCGCGATCGGACGGGTTGCTTAAGCTCCGTCCTAACAAAGTAAATGTTTCATGCATCATGCAAGAATATGCACACATACGCACACACACACATGATCACAGTGATCGTATTGTGCAAACGGAGTCGAATAAAGTGATCGTCATAACTACACTGAGCTCAGTGAGTAGCTAGTTTTGGTTCCCACCGCTCGATCTATATTCGTGTTTACAACACTCTCCCATTTAAATGACTTCATTCTCTACACCTGTTCTAATTAACCATCAGAACAGAACTCATCCTGTGTATACAACAGGGTGAAACTATGCCTAAACACACGGGCTGTTGCTGCTGGAGGACAAAAGTACTCCCTCCCCTCCCCCCCAGCTTCACACGGTCAGTAATCAGATCACTGTATACGCCTGACTTCGTTTCAATGTGAGGTTCAGTGGGTAGGTGGGTGGTTGGGTGGCGGCGGCGGCCCGTGGCAATTGGTTTACGTACTCTCAACGGCACTTGACTGTCACACCGGAAACACTTCGGACTCATTGTGGCATTCCTTTTCTTTCTAACATCCACTGCTCTGACTCTGACTCTCCTATTCTGGCAATCAATACACACACACACTGGGGTTCATATCCGATTGAGTGTAAAAATGGACCACCTGTTCCACGGGTGATCTGTAGACCGCTTTACCTTTGTCCGGAATCAAGTCTAACTGCACACTGAAATCTTTTCACTTTTTACGGGTATCAGCATTGTTTTTTTTCAATTGCTCAGTTATTTTTGTTCTGACAGTTGGTTTTGTCGTATGGACATCTGAAGTTGTTCATTCGCGTTTCACGAATATTAATTCCACAATCCGCCTGTTAACCATTAGATCATTATTGTTTCAACCCCGTGTGTGTGTGTGTGTGTACGTGTGCGTGTGGACTGTTTCGTCACAGTTTAGCTTTCTTTATCATGTTACAGACCTCGCTCACCGCATGACTCATCAGCATCATCATCCTCATCACGATCGTCATTAGATCTAGCTTTGTTTTCGCTAAGGTGTGACTGTTTTGTTTGCTTCCCAAACGATGCGCACTAAAATTATCCCGTTGAATGGATGCACACCAATACACACACACACACACATACCTGATGTTACCTTGGCGCGCGAACGAAACACTTCCGCCTGCGACCGTCCCGGTTACCATGAGCAACCGACCGTGTTGGCTCTGACTTTATTACAGCCTCAACGCATCTCTGTCCAGCCAGACCCGCATGCGCTTGACTTGTGAACAGTTTCCCGTTCTCGAGTTTTTGCAGTATGAGGACACGAGATAAATTGCACGACAAAAAACCACTACTACTACATGATCAATCCGTAATTTCAATTATTTGATCGATTAGCCCGCATTCAATCTTGCCTCTGATTTATGATGTATTCCGGGGGACGTGGGTGTGGACATCGAATCGACGGAAATGACCCCTGCTCTGATTGGATAGTGCATAGTGTGTGTGTATGTGTGTGTGTGTGTGTGTGTGTGTGTGTGTGCGTGCGTGCGTGTCGGGGTAATGAGGGTAGANATCAGATTAAATTACACCTAGCTGGTAGACTAATTGTGTACTTCAATCCAACATTTGTCCCCCCAGTCAAGTGTTCCATCATCCTGTACCACACAACCTCAACGGGTTTACGTGTTCAGTGTCCCCGAAAACATGAACTAAAGAAAACGGGAATATGAGATAGCAAGTAAGATAATGTCCGGACAAAACGCTTCTGATTGCATAGTGGGGGGTCTCACAGTTTGATCGTAATAGCTTCAGCCGTGCATAGAAGGATAAAGCGTACGGATTTAGATGATAACGGTGAAATACGATAAACGGTTCTGAACGCTCGACTTACATCCGCTTGGATATGACAAACTCACCATATCATGCAACACGGAAATGGCTGGCTCAAATACTCGATCCAATCAGGAAGATGATATTGACACAGGTTGAGAGACACTTTCCATTTTGTTGATGAAATCAAGGATCTAAACATCTCTTCTCAATCTTTGTGCTCATTAGGCGTCACATCGTTGTTCACAAACGTCCCACTAGTCGAAACTATCGAAGAAGATAATCATTTAGACATTGGAATACCACTGAATTTTCTCAAGGAATTATTACTCCGATACACTTTTGATGTACAATTCGTTTCCAACAATCATGTGTACAGACAGACATTTGGAGTCGCTATGGGTTCACCTTTGGGTTCACTTCTGGCTGGGTAAGTTAGAGAACACCAGCCTCCAACCGATCATAGAGGATTTGAACATGTACTACAGATACATGGATGGTATATTCCTCGTTACTAATGGAAATGGAAATGGAGACTTGGACGGAACACTGACATCAGTTAACAATGCCCATCGATCCGTATGCCTCTCTATGGAAAAAGAAACGAACGATTGCATCCTGTTTCTAGATGTCTTTATCCGTAGGAATCCAGATAGATTTATCCGAAGGAACGTCCATAGGAAACCAACTTGGACAAGACAATATATTAATTTCAATGGTTTTGCACCAATTAAACGAAATCGAAAGTTGGTTTATTGCCTAGCGAGACGAGCACAGAGAATCTGCACTCCGGATACCCTAATCGACGAAATGAAGCAAATAAGAAATACATTACGAGAGAATGGCTATCGTTTCCTTTACAAACACCTAACAGAAACGACAGAGAAACCAGAATTGAGCACAGTAAGAAGAAAACTCCCGTACCTGCAATTAACGTACAAGGGCGACAAGGCGGCGGACTGGGTCACACTAACAGTGAACCAAACGCTAAGGAGAACATTCACTACGGTAGCACTGCGCATCAGTTTCTCCACGTCACCAATTATTCGTTTTGATCTCAAAGACAGATTTTCCCCTCAGGCCGTATCCATGTGCATCTATTTGTTTACTTACTCCTGTGAATTGAGCTACGTAGGCCGGGAAACAAGACAATTCTCAAAGAGAATAAAGGAGCACCACCCCAGATAGTTAGCACACGGAGAAACGAGGACAGCGAGAAGAGCGATCTGCCAGCACCTACCAGAAAGTAATCACCAATTCTAGTAAGTCGAGCGTTCAGGACCGTTTATCGTATTCCACCGTTAGCATCTAAATCGGTATGCTTTATCCTTCTATGCACGGCTGAAGCTATTGCGATCAAACTGTTTACCCCCCACTATGGCCAATAAGCGCGAATTGGCATCCACCAAACAGCTGTTCGTGGTATGGCTGATTAACTGAGTAAATCCTCTAAATCTTTTTCAATTTAAAATGTCCGAATATTGATTTGCGATGTCACAGCATCAATTTAAGATGTCCGAATATCAATTTAAGATGTCATGTTGCTACTTGGATAGTATATTGCACAGTACAGAGTGAAAACGATCGATGGGATCACTGTTTACCCAGGTCCATGTGCGTCCTACCTGTATACCGATCTATGGCCCTCGGAAATACCGTCCCACTCTCAACAGAAATATGCACAGACGATGATCTTGTCTGCTTGTTTGCACACACAGACTGAACAATGCACCCCATTATTCAGTCAGAACTATGGGGCCATGCGCAAACCGACGAAGGCCTGGTTGAATATGAAACAAAAAGGAACGCTTTAAGGTTTTGTGGGGTCTCGCACACGATGACCACATTTTCACTTGATCAGACAAACGAGCTGTAGACTGAACCGTGCTCACCACGAACGTTCATGGTCTCATAAACACGAAGCGAACTATCAGAACGCAGAACTGCACCAACACTTATCGTTTCACAGAAGTTACCCGATCACATGACTGATTCCCTTTGGCCACTATTTTACCGCCATGTGGCTCACCATGGTGACCTAGGGGCGGTAAAGTATCAGGTGTCAGGACATGATAATCACCTAATCCAGCACAGTGCGCAATAAAACATGTTGAGTATAAGCATCAACTGATTGACGGATAACTAACTTTTATTTATACTCTAGTATGCATTCGAGACGAATCAAGGTACATAACTGGTGAATTTCAAACAGTGCGACAACAATGTTTTCCCCGTTTTTATCAACATCTTTACAAACCCGGATGTCTTAAGTTAGAGATTCGAGCCTCGTCGAAAACCGTGTTTCCAGTTTCCCAAATCTATTTTTCGCCCTACCAATCGGCATGGAATGGGAAATGACGGTATAGAAAAGAAACCCTGTTCCGCACTGTATGCCGCCTGTCACTGGTTGGGACATTTTTATACAGTTTTGGTGTTACATAGCGAAAAATGCCTTCTACCTTGTCTGATTTGGCACTATTTTGACGTGCGTGAGAAGGTAGACAATGGTCAAAATAACACCATCCCTCCTCCCACTTCACGTACACTGTTCGTGTCCAAATGCCGTTATTCCGAGTCGGTGCGACTACTGTGTGTGTGTGTGTGTGTGTGTGTTGGAGGGGGGAGAAAGGGAGGCTAGTGAACCATTTACGCAGTTAACCAAACCCGGGTAAACTGCGTATGGCGTGTAGTTCCTGTCATCTGGTGCATGCACCATGCCCACCGAGCGTGCGCGAGTAAATAAAAACACCTTTGCACAGAGGAAGAATACTTGCTCAAGAAATTTGCTGAATGTACGGACTCACACTCGCTCTCTTTCTCGCGCGCGCGCGCGCGCGCGTGCGCACAGGTCGTTAGCTGTGGAACACCCAATTTGACCTCGTTTGCTTCTTCCGTACACATTGTGTTCACCGAAACCTGATTTTGTTTCGAACGCGTGTGACTCATCCATAGATTGGATTGAATTGGAATGAACTTGTCAAGGATCGCGCAAATAGGCCAACGGGGACAATGTTCATGTATGGTCAACTGGTCTGTTCCACTGTGTGCTGAGGTGTGCGTGTGTGCGTACTATGGAGTTCATATGATTTGAGAGGTGCAAGACATTACTACTCATCTGTTGGACTGTCGGAACATAAAACACAATGACAGTGTCTGAGCTGATGTACTGTTACACACACAGACCGCATTCAAATGGCCAAGTTTAGTGCTTTGGCGGAAGAAAACAGATGTGCAGATTGGCGGAGCGAGGTGAAAGTTGATCACGGGAATGAGTCAGCTGACTCCGATCTGTGCTCGGTGCATTCAGGTAAGGTAATGCGCTCACGAAAGACTTCAAAGGACTGGAAAGGATAGAGGAAACACGCTTTGTCATGGACAGGTATGCACACACTTAGATGAAAAAAGGAATTAACTTCAAGTAATTTCACTTGAGGTCTGACGGAGATTGTCATCATCATATTTGCAGGTGTGCAGTTGGGTGTGTGAAGTAGGGCCAGTGTCAGTTTTTTTGGTTGTTGTTGTCTGAAATGGGTTGTGTCGGTCAACTGAATGAAACTTGCCCCTGTCATGCGAACAACTTAGACCGAAAAGGTACACGGTTTCGTTTTTTTTTGATCGGCCAGTGAGTGAGTGAGTGAGTGAGAGTATGAAGTCACACGTCTGTTTTATCATTCTGTAAAAGATTTTGTGGGTGATTTACTTTACAATTTAGAGCAGGTCGAGTACCTACAATGACCGAATACAATAATTCCCCTGAGGCCCGATCAACCAAATCACGTGGTTCACATATATTCTGTTTGAAATTGTGATCCACCCTACGTAAGTGTCCACACACACACACACACACACACACACACACACACACACACACACAGTGATCCAGTCCCTAACATACCAATTGACCCAATGCCCGATGTCCACAGAGTGCCCAAGCATCCATCTCCAATTCATCACCGAATGACCCATTTCTTTCTTTCTTGTTCATCTACGACCTGATTTATTCTCGTGACTTCTGTCCCTGAACCCGGTGTGATGGGGACTCTCTTCGTCATCATTGTTCATCTGTCCTACCAGCTTAGTTGATCGTATTCAGATTAGTCCTCTAACCTAACCTCGCGTTACCCTGACCGGTTTGCACAAGTGAGCTCTGACGCCACGTCACTTTGTGCTTGACTCATTTGCACGTTTATTATATATACCCCGTAGGACACGCCGCGATTTCAGGTGTGTTGTAACTTTATATTTATATTTTTCACACCACCATTTTTTTTATTCACCATTGTTTTGGAATCGAATGAACATAGGAGACCTGGAGACTTCTGTGGACAGATGTAATCACTAAACTTTGGCCTGGATTACCGAGCGGGTTTAACACAGCCTCCATACGTTAGACCGATATCATTCCACCCTCTCTATTTAGTTGCTCAACAAAGCAGGGAAACAGGTAGACTGGAAAACAGACAAATAGGCACGGTTGTTTTGACTCTTTCTTCTTATTACAGGTATTGATCAAACTCGTGTAACACCCGGACTTTCATTAGATTTATCCACCCTACCCGAAACGCTTTGTGCTTCGAGCCTCATTCACCGAAATGAACTGAGTTGATACTGCCCCGCACCAGACACAAAATATCTTCACTAATATCCTCGTTTATTTTTTACTTCTCTTAATTGATTTTTACTATGGCTTTTTTATTACACACCAGTGTGTAATCAACAGCAGTCGAATCGGACCCCATAGTCATGAGGACCTGCTGTTCAGTGACGGTAACCGGTAATCTAAGTCCCGGAACTTGGAGTGGCGAACCACATAGGGCGCCGATAGATCAGGCGTGATATAGAACCGCGCGACAGCAAAGCTGTCTACCACCAAAGTTGGGTGCCGGTGGCGGGGCTTGAACCTCAAAACACAGGGTCCAAAGCACACCAGTGACAGTGACTAAACCACTGTGCCATCACCATCTTGGTACTCAGTTATATATGTTTCTATAATCCACAGGACTATAACGGTTTACAAGCATTCCGAGTTTTTGTATCAGCCGTATTGTACCGAGTAGTAATCCACAGTGATGTCTACATTAAACACTGGTGGATGTGGTTCACATTTCTCCCTGTTCAGTCAGATGTTGTCAACCAACGTGGTTCCACCCACGTCCCACCACACACACACACACAAATTAGGAAGATAAACACGAAGGGCTTATGTTGGATTTACTTTCGCGTTTAGAGAAACGGCTACGGACTGTAGATGCTGAATCCGTTTTCTATTATAATGTCCCTTTCTTACTTAATTACATATTCAGTAGTATAACAGTTTGATTAATAATGCTTTTCTACTAACTCTTGAGCTTGGTTGTTTTCGGACCTAGGATGTTTGACTTTACTGAGTTTATTCAGATTACACGATTGACTGGTTATTGTTGTTATGGCTACAAACACCCTGACTTTGTGTGAAAACAATACCGTATGAAATGCGTTGTGTACGCCTCACTCGCCTCAAGGGTGAGTAGATTATCCGGTACGCGTCCATCCATTCTGCCGACTAAACAACCGACTAACCAACCACTGTTCAGCCTATCCACCCTTCAGTCGAACAGAACTGCCCATTATTATGTCATTACGCCCTTAGGGGGGGGGGGGGGGGGGCTCCGAACTTCGATCGATTTGACTCACGGTGTGATGAAAGTGCGTCGGAAATTGGTAAATGAGACCTAAATTTAGAACAGCATTATTTGACATTTCGTAGACCGGTCTCTGTAATAGAATAGTACTGTAATATCGTTTGTATGATGTATGTAAAGAAGACTGTAACTGATAGTCAATTTTGGTCAGCAGTAGGGGCATAGATAAACAAATAAATATTACATTGGGTAAAATGTCATAGAGACCTCAGCTGAGAAGAGTTCATTGATGAATTGGGTATTATATTTTTTTTCTAACAACAGAAACTTTCATGAAACTCGTGGATGATGTTTTATCTCGTGTTGTATTTGTATCAACTTTGGCATGAACAGATGCCGGCATCATCAAAAGAAGGAAAAATACGAGTCAAATATTTAACCCCCCAAGGTTATTGAGAGATTCTGAAGAAACGAGCTGTCGGTTTACAAGGATTCTGGTACGATAGGGAACTGGGGAATATCTGAAGAGGTTAAAGCGAGAGGGTAATAATCGATATGTGGGACGCGTAGATGTACGAGAGCAGCATTTGGATAGATCGCGATGATTGAGGTCAGAGAGGATTTTCTGTGCAAATGTTTCGCATGCGGATAAGTGAAGTTCATACGGTATTTTAGACAGCTCATCAACGTGTATAAAAGACACACGACTTATGATTGACAAATCTCGACGAAGAATTTTGAAGTCTGTCTTGAGTAGACCAGCAAAAGCCACCGGGGAACAATAAAGTTCTTGGACACTTCAGTGTTCCTTTTGCTAATAAAATTATCCAAATTTAGTTCACATGTAACTTGCTACATCGTGCTCCCGGAGACCCAAAATCATCGCATTTTGTCACGGCAATAGGAATCATCAAACGAAAAATCGCTACAACTCCAAACTCTGGCCAGTGTGATAAGTCACTTGACAGGATTATGGTAACACCAGAGATGGCCCATAAGTCTGCATGTCACGATGAACAGATCGTCTTGGATAACAACCCGTGGATCGACCTTGAACATACAGATTATCATACAACCAGTTAACATTTTCATCAGAGCAAGAAGACGTATCATAGGATCACTGCAGAATGCGTGTTGAATTCAACTATGTAGTTCGTGGTAATCGCATCAGTTGTGTACATCAATTCAGATCATGTTTTGGTTGAAAAAAAGATGACAGGTCTGTGGACAGGCGAACACACACAAGACACACGGGAAAAAGAAACCAATTAATAGTACAATGAGTAGGCTGAAAGAGAGCCTGACGATCAGTTGACGGATGGGACTTCAACGTTGACACCCGAATCCAACCTTTTTCATTCTTTCGTCAAAACGGCCTGACACCTTGTCCCAGTTGATTATTGTTTCCAGTTCTCAGTACTCGATCGGAAATCAATGCACCTCAGACCTCGCCATTGCGGTTTCAAAACACCTAAACATTGTGGGATTTTGGGTGCTTGTCTCTTTCCCCGCTAAGACGTCAGTAGACGAGAGGCTATCCAATCCTTAAACATGAAGCTTTTTTGAACAGAGTAACAGTATTTATCAGGGCCATTGACTGAAACGAGAACGTGCGAAGAGGGACGAAGGCGAGGTGGTTCTAGGTGGTTGACTGAGAAGAGAGAAGTAGTTGTGTTTGAGTAATTTCGAAAGCGAAGTGTGGTGTATTCAGATCGTGAACACGATTTATGAGCACCTTGTGAATGAATATAGTTAAGGTCGAATTAGAAGTGGTAAGTGGTCGCTAAAGGAAATGAATTCTTTTAGTTCTGAAGCAAGAAGGACTGAGTGATTGGTAATCACTGTTCAGTGTGTGTGTGTGTGCGTGAGTGAGTGAGTGAGTGAGTGAGTGAGTGAGTGAGTGAGTGAGTGAGTGAGTGAGTGAGTGTGGTCACCTCTTGCGGGTGAGCAATACACGTCAGTTTTATCTAATACTTGAAGAGGATGGGCAGTGGTTGGGTTAAAGCCCCACACTGGTATGTGGCAATTCACATTCATTCATACGCGAATAAAGGATAGAAATCAATCAATAGAAGCTACACAATCGTATTATGCGTAAGATGGGATCAGGAACAATTGATCCTAGTTTGTTTGGTCAGTCTTGAGTGACAGTGTACTGCTGGATATACAATACTATTCATACAGTATTGAAAATAAATTGACACTTGCCACTCCGAGAAACGTTAGTGTATGTGAGAATACCAAAGAAAATCGTCTTTTTACCGGTTTCTCAATTCTCTCCATGATGTTTAAAGCCGTTCATGCGAATAAAATTATTGTACTCTCCATTGGAGGTGGTGGAGGAGTAGAACGAGGTTCGACCCAAATTACGTGTCAACGTGCATTTGGTTACACCTTGTGTAACGATTGTGGTAGTAGTAATACGCACGGAACTCGGAACACAAACTACGCAGTAGGAATCACAGGACACGAATCAAGGATCAGCTATCACCGACTGGATTACGGAAACACTGAACCGAAGCACTGGCAGGAGCTCGTTATATCCCACGTGAAAGAGACGCGAGAAAAAGGCCGCAAGTATGGTAGTTGGTAGTTCATTTATTGGAAGTAATGAAGACGATTAAGTAATATGTCACGAGAATAGTAGTACGTAGTTCGTTTATTGAAAGAAATGAGGGCGATTATATAATATGAACAAAAGAAGATCTTTTGTTATCTAGGCTTCCACCAATCGTATTGCATTATGGCTTGCATAATCCTGCTTCTGTCTGCACTGTCTCGGATTGGCTGACACGATCCACCAATGGCGTGTAGTCACGCGTGTCACTGACTTCACCTTTCAAATTTGATTGATCCCCTGTGTTCGGAAACTGTGACGCCCCGCTACAGGGTAAACGTCATCTCCTAGGCCTGGATCACCATACTTTGGCAACTTCCAGACAGGTGAGCGGGTTGCTCTCAGTACCGCGGATGAAGAGGCTCACACGGGGCGCGGATGAGGATGAGGATGAACTGTACACGAGTGTTCGCGTAAATTCATGATCGGAGGAAACTAGTTTAATCCGAAATTTTTTTAAATACCGACCGATCAACGAGGGAACAGTTGTCTTAACCAACTGACCAGTCTAGGTGCTGGTGCTGGAAGGATAAAACTGTCGGTGCTTCGTGAGGATACATTTCAAACACTTATGATTGCTTCGTGTTTAGCACAGTCTGCTTTTTTATCATTCCATCCCCTGGTGATCAGGAACCCCATTGATTTCTGGTTTTTCTTGTTAGGAATACACGCGTTGCTCGTAGATCGGATAACTGTATCTATGTGACCTAAAGGTTTCTCGTTCTAGTGCGAACGTGAATGAAAATCTATCAATCTGTAAATGTCTGGTACGAGATACCGAAGAAAGAGACATTTCAGCGATTTTTTACTCATAGGCGTTCCCGGGGATATCTCTTGGTCGATTCACAATGTTCTCCAGGAATCATTTAAATGGAATCTTATGCTAATAAAAAAAACTTCAGTTGCCATCCCTTTAAATGAACTGTTACGATTTGATTGTTTCGAATTCATAACAAGTTGACCATGGGGGTTGTACAAAGCCTAAACCCGATTCGTTGTGTGTCACCTAAGAACTTCTCCAATGAACCTTTTCACCTTCCACTCTCCAGATAGAGCTGTACAGGAAGTTCATAAATGGTCATAAATGATACCTCTATGGGTTAACTGACGTTTGATCATTAAGCTACCTTTGTCGAATCGTGCTGTAAAATCAACACTTATTTTCAACTATTTACGATATCTTTTTGACATGAAAGAAATGGAGGATTTTGTTTGTTCACATTGAAAATGTCGTCTTGTTAAGAGTAGCAAATGAAACGTGAACTAAAAGGTGGGAAGTACTGGACAGCTGTTTTGACCTGGTTGGATCTCATCCGTGCAGTGCGCGGATCCATCGACCCAACCGGGGAACGAACCCGAGACCTTCCAGGTGGAACGCACTCACTCAGCCACCCCGGGGGCAACTGATCAGACCGTTTCTTTTTTTAAATATACCCGATATAGCACAACCGAGCTTATTGTCAGTATCACACGCATCTCAGCACTAGCNCCCCCCCCCCCCCCCCCCCGGGGTTATGACTCGGTCGAAAACATTCTAACCCGATTTTTGTTGTTGTTGAAAATTTCGGTTTCAATTTTGGTTTACATAATAAAGGTCGGTTAGACTATGCATCTGTCTTGTGCGACAGTCTTCGGCGGAGAAGAGCAAACCTAATCCAGATAGGAATGGCTTTACCACGACTGGGTCGAGTCACGAGCTGAGCGATTGAGGACAGTAATGGATAGTGTTAGGACGGAGCGTGCAGAACCCATCAGGCCACGCATCGACCCGCGTCACACCACAAGTGCGTTCGTGACGCCCAAAGCCGAATCGATTCCGGATTGGATGCCTGAGGCGAATCAGCCAGCTGTCGTGCGATCGATCAACCGGAGTATCAAGGTCGCAATCTGATTGGTGCGTCATCACGTACGACGAATTTACCACAAATTTGCGTGTTGTGGCATGATCAATAATATACTCTGACTGTCGTTTTCTCAGCCATATTCCCTCTTCAATTGTCGGGGCCTAGTCAAGAAGCGCTCATATCGATCATACGTCTTGGCAAGACATAACAAATAGTTCAGGTAAATCGCGAAAATTAAGAGTTTTAAGTTTCATTTCCATCATCCAGATCAACAACGTTAGTCTCCATCGGATCCTAAAATGTGTGGAACTTGAAACACTATTTTGCATGTGTGCAATCAAAAATCAGGTGGTGTTATCATACTCGAACTGGAAGAGCCCATGAAACTTGACGCAAAGCTCAATCCTCAGATGAATGGGTTTCCCGTATTTTCATTCCTATGAATTTGTCTCATCGTATTTTCTTTTTTGTTTGAATGAAATGACAGTTAGTCATAGTGAGACATGTTCACGGGAATCCCATTATTATTATTACTATTATTATTTGTCTGAGGGCTATGATGTGGTAAACGTACTGTAATCCCAGATCCCTTTCGCTCATAACACCGTTCATGTACAATTTCTGTTCACAGTGTTCGTCCTCCATTCCAATCTGGACGGTGTATTTGGAAAATCAAGCTTGATCGAGCGACTCACACGGGCTCGTCTTCAAGCCGATGCGGAATTCCGAGTGGATCACCAAAACGAGCGTCCGTTCCCGAGCCATTCATACCCGATCGTTCCGTCCCAGGTCAGTGTGGAATTCACCGTGTTCGCGATCAGTCTGGGCTTGCTCACTGTGCGCTACGCAATGCCATTCTATTTCACCAGTCGAGTTTTCTCCTCCCTCCTGTCCATGTTCATCGCTTTGACCAGCGCATTCCTACTGATCGATTCGGCCACTGTGGCCGTTGTATACAAACTGTTCTCGATCGGTGTTCGCGAGCCCGGTGGAGCCGTTCTCATAGAATTCGGTGAACAAGAAAAGGTGCTTTCCCCGTGGCAATGTTTGTGCATGAGTGTTGCCGGCCTACCAGCCATTCTGATTAATCTGATGGCTGTGTACGCATATGGCGAGGAACAATTTAGTCGTGCGGTGATCAATTACGCGCAATTACTGATTGCCGGTGAATTACCACCTTCACGTTCCGCTCGTGTAGGGGATCCGAACAAGTTACGGTGCAACGGCGCATCATTAGTCATGGAATGTGGAGCTAACGAGTGCGTGGAAAATAACGGTTCTTTTGCTACCGCTGATCGTGGCACTTTGGACGAGATGGATATGGACGGAGTTCGGGAAGCTGTCTACGGATGGCCGTTAACCATTGCAGTGACCACAAAGTACTGGCGACCACCTCCACCGAGCACCATGCGACGATCCGGTCGCATCTCAAAGCGAGCCAACACACCCATTCTCGGGCAGTATCCGTCCAATGATAGCGAAGCCTCGAGCACACTGAAGCGATTACCGGGGCAGAATGGAACCAATGGAAGTGCTGATATGAACGCCTCTGTACACACTCTCACCGATTTGAGCGATGCGAGTAAGGCGGGCGCAAGCAGACGGTCACATTTGGGTTTGTTGGTTGTCGCGGCTATCGCGTTTGTTTGGTTCCTCGTGACAAGAATGTGTTTGGCTGCTCCATTCCTGCGCTGTTTCTGGAAAACCGAATTGCGCCTGATCCTGATCAATATTATTGTGACTGTGCTCTATTTGGTCGTGTGGCTCCTACTTTGGTTTGGTCTAGGTGTGAAGAATGCTTGGCGTTTTCGTCTGTTACATACAACATGGCCATTCTGGTCCCGACCGAATTCGACCGCTGGACCAACAATGGAGAACGGTCATGTAACTTATGGACCAGACGGTCAAACTCCCATGACACTGCATCCGCTACAGGCTGGCTATCCCGCTCTATGGCCTTATATGCCATATGCACCGTGGATAGCCTCAACGGGTCCAGGTGGAATGAGTGCTGGACTTCCGGTTGGTGATACCGGAGACCTGCATCCCTTACCGGTTCCCCTGTCTAATGGGAATGTGGGAATGCAAGAAGCCGGAAGTGGAGGAGATTCCCTGTACGGATGTTTTGCCGAGCTTGCGTCAACCGGTCCGCCGGCATCCAATCCCGGTTTGGATCAATATCAGGCTCACGTCCAGACTTCGGGACTTCGTGCTGGACCTCCAACAGTGTCAGATGATTCCGAAGCGTTACCGGAACCGGGCGATCATTTGGACGGCAATTCACGCTATTTCAAACCTGTTCAATCCGTCAGCTTTCACAGTGGCCTCACGGCAGTCAATAATTACCGTACAAGTAATCACCAGTCATGCACACCATCACCATTCCAACACATGCCGTGTGAGTCCAGTTCTCGAGGCACCTCGCCGGTTGATGGCGCTATTCCTACATCCATGTCTGCTAGTGTACGTCAAAGAGGTCAACAAATGGCTGCAGCTCAGAATATACTACTGCGCCAAGGTCGTATAACTGATGGAGTAGAACCTACATATGCAACTTTGACTACCCTTTCACGACCGAACGGTCGAGCTCCATCTGTGACACCGGAAAGTCGAGGCCAAACTCCAGTCAATGGTATGATGCAACAACACCAGTCTTCGTATCGACGTAATGGTTCCCGAGTGACGTTCAAAGATCACACGCCGGATCAGAATACTCTACGTTCTATTCACCATCAGCAACAGCAACAACAACAGCAGCAGCAGGATGCTGCCACTGGGAGTAGTGATAGCGGGGTATACACGAATGGTCATGGGATGAACGGGAACGGTGACAGACCAGTTCAAAGGGGTCGATTGAAACCGGAATTATTTGCCATTTACGGTGATGTCAGAACTCCGGCCACCGGCAGACTCCGGCCACAATCACCACCCACACACAAATCAATACAATCGTCCGCGTTCGGTCGAAATAACGGACAAGGTGCAGATGAAGTGGCCGAGATGTCCACAGACATGACCAGTTACGGTGCGCGTACAGAAAATGTGATGACACGATCCAGTGATCAGCTATGTAGCCAAGTATGAATATTACCAACTAACTATCAATCATAATTTCAATCCATTTGTTTGAGTCGCATTTCGCTTTCCCTTAGCTCCACCACACTCTACCGTTTTGTTCATTTTTATTTCTCATTCGTGTCTTGTGTAAATCAAGAGCATTGTTGAGTATGTATTGATCCAAACAACTGTCCCTCCCCCTCGTCACACACACTCAGCCAGCCCCGGGATACACGATTCTTGTACAGTTCATTCTTCATTTCATTTATTTGCCTCTCTGTGTTCTTGCTAGATCATCATGAATTGTCTGTATTCAACACACACACACACACACACACACACACAAACGATGAGATCCATGAGGAACTGTCATGTGAAAGATTTGTTTTCCTTCCGAAACTTAACCCCCATTCCTTGTCGATGTCCATTTATCTGACTGCAGTCCGCCCTCTCTCCTCAGACTATGGGAGCGGCCAGCGGGGGGGGGGGGGGGGGNATACGGAACCACACTCACCGAAATCTAGACTTACCACCTAGATCAGCTGGATCTGAATTTAAGGCTGTGGGTGGTATATGCATTATTCCGCGTGACTATTTTGGCTGGCTTTCAGAACAAACCTGATGTCCAGTTGCACGCCTGTCATTTCCTGCTACATGCATGTACACTACTTCTACTATTACTACTACATCCTTGGCGTTTCTGTTGCATACAATCTCCTGTCATAAATGATGATGCTTACGAGTAACACGTTTCATCTAGTTCAATTACTATGCGATCTGACCGACCCAGTATCAACATTTAAAAAATTTGTGCACATCGAACTTGTCCTCGGTATGCCGTTCTTTCAGAATACTTCATATGATGCTGTACACTGCATACCGTCCGTGTGTGCGGATGGCGCACTACCATAAGTCCCTCCATGCCCAGTTCGTTGACAGTGCGGAACACATGGGTTCAGTATAGTAACTCGCGATGTATCGTTTTTCGAACGGAGGATACCCAGACAAACATATCATAAACCGGAATCCGAATACTTAGCCCTTAACTACTCGATTCTATTCAAAGTGAATATGGGATCGGCCAAATAGGATAAATCTGGTAAACCGGAATAATTCAGTGTTCTGTACCAAATGTGCTTCAGATTTCACACCCGTCATTTGTTCACAGACAGCACTGAAACGATTGGTCGGAAAGTGTGCTCGCTTCAGTGATTTGATAATCACTCATGAAAATCCCAATCGATCGAGGTGAAAACAACAACAGCAAAAACTGTTTGAACACTTCTGTGATCCACTTCCAAACAGGAAATGAAATTTCAAAACGGGGGAAAACAATGAACTGTCAGACCAAATAGGAACAAAGTTAGGCGTGTTCCCTAAACTGTTTGCGGCGGGAATAAGCAATTGTTTACGTGTCATCTATTACTTCAAATCAATCACGTCACGGCAAGATCGGAGGTAAAATAACTTATTGATGAGGCAGCTTACTACTTGTACCACATCCTCCCGTTTTAGGTAACTTTTTCCTGCCTGATGATTCGTTAGATTTATGGAATTATCGATATTGATATCTCGAGTACCGTTTACACTGTCTGGTCTAGGATGCCCGTTAATTGCTGCCGATCCGACTACTATTTGTAATGTAACATGGTGCTAATGGTGGTAACCGGTCACATCCTCAGGCGTCGTGGTCGAATGTCCGGGAGTGCTCATTCAATGAAAGACGACCCACACAGACGGTCACACGCATTCAGGTGTTGGTTGACAATGGAATCAACC